TGAGTCTTGCCTGGAAGGTAAAATGACTAAGAGGGCTTTTAGTTCAAAGGGGCATATAGCCGAAGATGTGTTAGGGCTAGTTTTGTAACGCCCCGAACAGTTAATAAATAAAACCAATTCACTTGCTCGACTTTAAAGTGAACACTAAAGTTGTTCGATTCAGTAGTTCTAAGTGAAATATTACATGAATTATGTGGTTATATTTGTATTATATTGAATTATGTGCTCATGTATGTTAGTTTATAAGTTCGAAATTTCCATTCGTGCCAAATCGCCGATTCTCTCGTGCCGAACTCTAACCGTGCGTTCGCCCGAGCATCGAGGACCTTAGCGATCTTAGGGCATATGAGTTCAGTTATGTTATCCATGTTAATTCCATTTTCGGTCATAATAATCGAGTCCAAGCCAAGCATTAGACTCGCGAGATCCCTAGCCGCGCGCGCCTTCCACCGAGTCTTAGTCGAACCCTTTGAGACCCTAGCCATCCAACCTCATTAGTCTTGGTCCCATACTCATGAAGGCTGAGTTTTAGGTGTTAATTGATGTCTAATTAAGCTTAATTTGGAGTTAAGAAAGATTTGAGCAAGTTTAACATTCCTTATTTATAAGCTAGTGCATCATGGGCATGAATTGTTTAATGTGAGTGTGTAAGGTCTTGTTCCCCATCATTCTTAGTGCCATGACCTGAATTCTCCAGCCCTTTTCAGTCCAATTTCGTGCTCCATGAGACCATAGTGCCCCACTTTCACTCAATCATGCAAAGAATCATGCATTGGAAATGAGTTGGTGCAAGTTTTGTCTCCCACTTTGTCTCCATTGCGAGCCTTGTTTATAACGCCCAAGGACCAGCTTATAAGGCCTACATTCAACTCCTAGAAGACTTCACTTGATTCCCCAACACTTAGTAAATACTAGAACTTAAACTCCTTCAAAGCATCAAAACCGAGAGTGAGTAATTTAGAGCAAGCAAATCCCGAGTGCACACTTGTGCTTAGTTTCAAGTTCTATGCATCAAACCTTCATCCCCTTAGCATAGTATCACTCTTAACTCATTATACACTCCCCATAGAAGTGTTTTGAGGCTTCAAGTTCAATATAAGTCGAAGAGATTAAGCTCAAAGTCGAGAGCAAGAAGAGGAAGGCAACATTCGAGTATACCCGACTTCTTTTGCCTTTTCTTGAAGATTAAGAGGTTGGTGTGCTCAAATCTTTCTAGAATTTTAATATAAATGAGATAAGGAGTAGAATGATATATATGTGCCATACATGTTCAGTTTTTAAGTAGTTATAGGCATGCAAGAAGATAAAGTCGTCCTAGCTCGCATGAGTGTTTCTTATGTGTTGTTTGCTTAAATTTTTGCTATGCTATGAAAAACCTGAGAAATTATGCTTTATATGGCTGTTTTGTGTGTAAAAGAGGAGTTCATAAGATCAAGAATCAAGTCGTTTAGACTAGTATAACTCGAGTTATAGATTTTTGAAGATAAGTATGCAAGTTCATTTTATATGGCAAATTTCAGCTACGACTTCAAACGCGAATAACTCGAGTTCTACTTAGGATAAAATTATAAACATTTTTGGACATGTTTATATATGTGTTATGAGTCTGCATACCAAATGTTATGATTTTATCTTAAGAATTGAGTGAGTTATGATTTTTACAAAAAGATTGTGCAAGCAGTTT